GCTGCGCACAGTCCCCTCTGCCTGGCCGCGGGGAGTGCAGGCTGTGCCTGGGCCCCTGCGTGCATTCAAATCTAAGATTCTATGACATATTAATGCCTGATTGCTTTGCAAATACTGATTCTAAAATAAAATGGCCCCAAAACACACAACACTAAAATTGCTGAAACTCTAGGGAGAAATGGACAAATCCACCATCATTTTCTTTTTGAAAAATAGAAAAGGCGTTTATTGGTTCACACGGCAGTGGACAACAGGGGGCCCCCGGGTGAGAGGGGCCCACAGGGCTGCAGACCCACTGCTCCAACAGCAGCTTGACTGTTTGATCCACTTTCTCTGTTAATGGGCAAGGGGCATACTGGCCTGTTAGTGAAGAGGCGGAAAATCTCAACAGCAAGTGTGACTTGCTGCTGTACATCACTGCGCCTGTCTACCTGATGGTGGAATCGGTATTCCTTCTCGGCTTCAGACGTTCCTAAAAACTGATGGACTACCTCGGACAGCAAATCTCAAGGATCTCTGACCCTCTGGCCACAGTGCAACAAATATATATGCACAAAACATAAATATATTTTGAATTAAGAAAGTCTTTAAATAACTCATTGTTTAAAGAAGAAATAATAGAGATTTTAAAATCCTGGAGCTGAATAAAAATACCATATTCCCCACGTCATTCTTTGACGCTTGTATAACCATGGATCACGTGAGAAAGGAAAGTTGTAGGTCCATCTTATTTATAAACATACACTTAAAAACCATATGATCCAGCAATCCCACTCCTGGGCATATATCTGGGGAAAAGTGTATCAGAAAGACACGAGCACCCCAGTGTTCGCAGCAGCACTATATTCAACAGCCAAGACATGGAGACAACCTAAATGTCCAATGACAGGTGACTGGATAAAGATGTGGTGTATATATATGTGTATAATGGGGTATTTCTCAGCCTTAAGAAAAAATGAAATAATGCCGTTTGCAGCAACACGGATAGACCCAGAGATTATCGTATTAAGTGAAGTAAATCAGAGAAAGACAAATATTATATGGTATCACTTATATGTGGAATCTAAAAAAAATGATACAAATGTTATTTACAAACCAAAAATACACTAATAGACTCATGGACACAGAAAACAAACCGTGGTTTGGGGCAGTGGGGGAAGGGGTGGGGCAGAGGAGGGATAGATTAGGAGTTTGGGATTAACAGATATACACATTACTATATATAAAATGGATAAACAACAAGGACCTACTGTACAGCACAGGAAACTAAATTCAATTCTTTGTAATGAGCTGTAATAGAAAAGAATCTGAAAATATACATATATGTGTATGTGTATGTATAACTGAATCATTTTGCTGTATACCTGAAACTAATATTGTAAATTGACTACACTTCAGTAACAAAATAAGAACTTTTTAAAAAATGGCTACCTGAAAAATAATGACACAGATGTTATTTACAAACCAAAAATAGATTCACGGACATAGAAAACAAACTGGTTACCAAAGGGGAAAAGGCGGGGGAGGAATAAATTAGAAGTCACATCACTATATATAAAATAGATAAACAACAAGGACCTACTGCATAGCACTGGGAACTATATTCAATTCCTTCTAACATATAATGGAAAATAATCTGAAAAAAATGTATGACTGAATCACTTTGCTGTACATCTGAAACTAACACTGTAAATCAACTGTACTTCAATTAAAAAATAGGAATTGAAAAAAAAGAAATACGTTTCCGTCGTTAGGGTAGGCAAGGATTTTTTTCCCTCTAATTTACTTTATTTTCTGGAGCAGTTTTAGGTTCACAGCAAAGTGAGCGGCAGGTACAGAGGTGTGGCATCTGCTCTCACACGTGCACAACCCCGTCCTGACACCCCCCACCAGAGGGAACCTTTGCTGCCACTGATGATCCTGCACTGACACATCACCACCCAGAGACCATCGTTTATGTCAGGATTCACCCTTGGGATCGTGCGCTGCGTGGGTCTGGACAAATGTATAATGACGTGTATCATGCAGAACTGTTTCACTGCCCTAAACATCCCCTATGCTCTGCCCATTCGTCCCTCCCTCCCCTCAATCCCTGGCAGGACAAGTTTTTAAGACATCAAGGTTGCTAACTACAAAAAAAAAAGACAAACTTAATTATGTTAAATTTAAGAACATTTATTCATCAAAACACGGTGTAGAAACAAAGAAAGTGAAAAGATCTTGGACTAGGTCCTGAACTGGGGGGAGCGGGTTGCTCTAAATGACATTACTGGAACAACTGATGAAATTTCAGTGTGGACTGATACTACACATCGGTATCAAATCACCGTTAAACTACTTACATCTGAAAATTGTTCTGTGGAAACATGAGAATATCTTTGTTTTCAAAGATGGATGCTACAACTGACTCCCAAACGGTTCAGAAAAAATAATATATAGTCTCGTCCACACAAATGCAGCAAACGGTGAGTCTGCGCAAAGGGTACACAGTTACTGTGTTAGTCCTATAAGTTTGATTTTTTTTTCAAAATAAAAAGTAAAACATTTTAAAAATATTTGAAAACACATGTTATAAACAGGGAGAAAATACAGTCCTGACTGTTCTCACATAATTGACAGAAGATTGTTCTCTATATTATGGGTTTAAAACCATTAGAAAAGGAAGAGAAACAGGAATGAACAGTCAGCATATGGAAAAATGTTCAGTGTTATCAGTAATTAGGGGATACAAATTAAGACCATAATCAGGTACCAATTTATTCTTAGTAGACTAGCAAAAGTTAAGACGCTTGACCCATGACAAGGACTGGAGAGAATGTGGAATAACAGGAGAGGGCTGATGAGTGCTGGTGCAGGAGAGACTGGCACCGCCACTTTGAAAACACCTCAGCATCGTCTGGTAAAGCTGTCCGCCCCACCCCTCTGACCCAGTCACGTTGCTCCCAGGTTCAGGGAGACTGGGCACAACCACAGTGGAAGTGCACAGGATTGGTCCTGCCAGCCTTGTCAGTCACCACCAGGAGCAGACTCAGGTTTTGCAGAGAACAATCCCACAAATTACAAACGTGAAAACACCCAGGAAAGCACCGTACTCTTTCCTTAATTAACTGTGTCACGCACATCTGTATCTTGTTCCTTCGCAGTTTTGGCTGCATACTCCGTAAGCTCCTCTTCATATGACAGTGATTTCTGTACATTAGTTTCTGTAGAGAGAATGAAAAGGTTGTCTTTCTTTTAGCACAATTTATTGGACATTTTTTATTTTTAACATTTGGGATGTAAAAACATGTCTTCACATACAGGCAGACTCACTGCAGTTCTGTTATAGGTTTGTGACCTACAAACTCAGGAAGTCTGATAAATTTTACTTTGTGTGATTCTCATCAATGAAGAAAAAATGTAAAGTGCATTTATAATCATCTAAGAATGACTACATCCCTAATTAGAGAAGCTCCATCTGACTATGCACTGGTCAGAACTGGGTCCCCTGATACAATTTGCACATCTCGTGGGTTTTTACAGACTCGCTTCCAGCTCCTTTCTTTCACTCTGTTTCGCCCCCAGCACGCACATACCTCCGGTGCTCGGTGCTGGAGAACACACGTCTGTTCCCCGCGTCTTCCTACTCTGGGACGAAAAGCAAGAGCCTGGCAATAAAGACTGCAACCCTCAAGCGTACATCCCACCCAAGTGAAAATGAACGTACCTCCAACTCAGCCCGCCTTCGCTCCATCCCCAAATGCCTGCAGCCACCCATCAGCCCACCTGAGAGGTGCTGGAGGAGGGCACGCAGGATATGGAGAAACTGGTCCTAAACCCATTTAGGTTTAAATGACTTTCTTCCGTAGATTTTACAAGATCATATGACCGTATGCACACGTTACCAGCCTCCTCTTTCAGGATAGAGGAGACCCACGGGAGTAAGGGGCCCTGAAACTCAAATTCCATTAGCCTCCAATACTACTGGTGACAACTCAAGTGTCCGCAGAAAAATGAATGAACAGCTATACACAAACTAAGTTACAGACACTATGTTACAGTGATGAAAATAAATGTTCTACTGCTTGCTTGCACTTAGCAACTTGAATGAATCAAGAAAACATGTTGAATATAAAGCAAATCCCACAAGGCTAGATATGTATGTTATTTTCACAAAGCTCAAAAAAGACACTATATATCGCTTAGGAATGCATCCAACGATGATGAAACGACTAAACCGGCGGGGAGACACCGCTCAGGTCATCGGTAGCTGAGGAAGGAGCAGGGGCAGAACGGGAGGTGCGTCAGCCACGCTCCGCGCCGATCGTGTCGCGGAGTGACGGGCCGCGGCTTATCAGCCTGCTTTCACAGGTGCGTATCTGTCCATCACGTCACTTCGTACGCATCGAGCATCACATTGACAGCGTGTAAGTCATCCAGCGCCGGTCCCCGCTTCCGCTCCTGCACCTTCTCCCCATCGCGTCCCCACTGCCAGCGGCCCGGGGCCCGGACCCCCGGGGGCCCAGGACGGGATCGCCGGCCTTTCCTCTCGGCGCCGGGGGGCCGAGCACGCACAGGAAACCTGCCCCGCCGATGCCACACTGACTCCCGCCAGGTGTGCGTATATCAGGGTTTCGGGCCGGCCTCCGCTCTCCGCGCCCCGCCCGGCTCCCCGCCCGGCTCC